TAAGACTAACATCGGTCCTATCATCACATGTTCCTATTTCACTGTCACTTCAAGAATATAACAGTTAATGTTAATGACTGTATTATCTCCAATACAAATAAAGTTTCTCGTGTGCAATTAAATGGTGCAAAAACATTACTATTTTCTCCTAAGTGCCCAACTATCGTTTGAATGATTTCTCTTCTCTTATTAAAGTCTCGCTCATGGTTGAAATCAAACAATTTATTACCTAATGCAATTGATGCAGCAACTCCATCAGGTGTTGCTGGTATCATAATTTTACCCTCTAACATATATCTTGTTTCTTGTTCAGCTGTAGTGTTCATTTATGAACTATTAATTGATTATTTGAAGATAGTTATGAAAAGCAATAAATTCAAAAATTAACTAAATTTTATTTGTTTAGATACTTCAATACCACCGAAATTTTTGAAATTTTGTGATTTTTTGATTTTTCCTTATTTTCGATGTTTTATATAGAATTTAATATAAAAAGAAAAACTTGAAAGTAGATAACATATGAATTCTTACTTCACATTAAACAACGGTCATAAAATCCCTAAACTTGGACTTGGAACATGGATGTCAGCAAATGGAGAAGTTGCAAAAGCAGTTGAGATTGCTATTAAGAATGGATACCGACATATTGATTGTGCAAAGATATATGGAAATGAGAAAGAAGTTGGAGATGGGATTAAGAGTGCAATAGAAAAGGGATATGTTAAGAGAGAGGAGTTGTTTGTTACAACAAAATTATGGTCTACAGATAAACATAAAGAAGATGTTAAACCAGCATGTATTGAATCATTAAAGAAATTACAATTGAACTATCTTGATCTTTACATTATTCATATTCCATTAAATGCAGATAAGAAAACAGGAGAATTCACAGATGAAGTTATTCCAATTGAAGAAAGATGAAGAGAAATGGAAAAATTAGTTGAAGAAGGATTAGTTAGGTCTATTGGAGTATCTAATTTCAATATTAACAAGTTAAAAGAGTTATTAAGTATTGCTAAAATCCAACCAGCAGTTAATCAATTTGAATTCCATGTTTATTATCAACGACCAAAATTACATCAATTTTGTAAAGAGCATAATATTCATATTACAGGATATTCCCCATTAGGAAATCCAGGATATGGTTCAACAGTACCAGCACCATTTGAGAATGAAGTTGTTAAGAGCATTGCAAAAAAGCACAACAAGAAAGCAACACAAGTTTGTATTAAATTCACTATTGCAAATGGAAGTTCAGTGATTCCTAAATCAGTTCATGAAGAAAGAATCAAAGAAAATGGAGACATATTTGACTTTGAACTTGACGAAGATGATATGGAGAAATTGAGAGAGTTAGATAAGAACATGAAGGTATGTGATGTTTCATTTTATTTAACCGAAGAAAGAAAAAGAAAAGAATTTTGGGATGATGAATAAACAAATAAAAATAAAATGATATTTCACAAAAAAGTAATTGAAAGATGTCTTAATAAAAAAAATTTAATAGTAATAAAACTAAATAGATAATGTTATATATATATCAACATAAATAAATAGAAATCAAAAGAAATTTAATAACAATAATAATCTTATCAACAAGAAATTAAAAATAAATATTATGGATTAACAAAAAATTTAAAGATAAACATAATAAATTAAATAAACTTTAATATTCATAATGTATTAAATTGATAATTAATAAATGAATAAACAGGAACATTTGTAATAGAATTAAGAAAAAAAAATAATAAAATATAAAATAAATAAATAAAATCATTTTAAAATGATATAAAAGAAATACAATAAAAAATAAAATAAATGAATAATGAAATCATAACCCAGTGATATCAGTTTGATAATCAGTATATTGTGATTGTTGGGAGTCATCTTCGTTACCATTTCTTAAACTGTCAGTAGTATAAAATGGATCTGCTGAAATTCCTGTTTGTTTTTCAAACTCATCAGAATATAAAGAAATAGTACGATGAATAGGCTGACAAATTGGAAGACCTTTACACTCAGGAGGTTTACTCAATGTAGGTTTTTTAAAGGACCTTGGAGTGATAATACCTATTCTTTTATCTGCAATTGCTTCTTTAGGATCTTCCATTGTAGGGACTATGAGAGGAGTACAACTATCAATTGGATTTACAACAGTATCAAGTTTAAGTGTTTGATTCATATTAATTTGATTTGCTAATAATTGAAGACAGTGTTGATAAGAATTAATAAATGCATTAAGTCTATCTAACTCAAAAGAGTCAAATTGATTTTTTTTATCAAAAAGCCTTAATTGAATTTCCATTAACTCACTATTTCGTTCAGTATTTATTCTTCTTTTAAATTTAAAACAATAACAAACCAATTTAAATTAGTTCCTTCTTTATATAACTCAATCAATTCATCAACTTCTGTTGCTTTATGAACAGTAACTCTAATTTGTTTCTCAGTTTTTTTACATTTTTGAATAAGCTCCATCCATTTCTTTGGAATTTCTTCTGTTTTGATTGATAAACTCTCTTCTTTTTTAAGTTCAGGGAAAAACACTCCACGTTGTTTATATTTGTTATAAAGAAAAGCATATTCTTCAAGTTCATTAGGAAATTTAAATTTCCATTCTTGAACTAACTCCCTACATTTCCTTGAAACTGAATTTAAATTTTTATTTCCAATTTTTGCATTCTATTTACTCTTGAGTTTTTTTATTTTTAAAATAAAAATATATATACAAACTTTAAATTCACCTATCACTTCAACATATGCGATAAAATCAATATCAGTAACTTGTCTTCTAAATGAAGGTGAATTACATAACACATAATCAATAAGGCAAAATGTATAATACATCTCTTTTTCACTTATTTGCTTTTTTAGATAATACTTCATTTTAGTTATTGTTTGAAGTCTCAAAGAAGTTCCTGCTCTTTCAATTTTTTTAATAATATTAGAAATTACTTCAAAACGAGAAATTGCAGGTGTTGGATTTAAATCACTAACTGCTTCTCCAATTAATTGACTTAGTGGTACTGATTTGTTAACCATAAGTTGAATGTTTAAACAGATGAGGATATTCTATTTCCTTCGATTGATTTTATTTTATGTATTTTCGTTCTTATTTCTTATTTTTTTTTGCGTTTTTTTTTTCTTATTAAAGCTTTTTTTATTCTGCCTATTCTTTCCTTTATGATTCGGGGATTATTTCTTTAATTCTATTTTAAGGAAATCAATTCTTTTTTTAAAACATCTAATTAATAATTGTTTTATATATCATTTTAATAAAACCTAAAAACAGAGAAAAACTAAGAATTGAACGGTCAGATGAATCCCACTGAAGATATCATCAAAGAAGGAGATACAGTTGTTATGTTTGGATCTCGTAATCAATATGAAATTATTCAAGTTAGTAAAGGGAAACAATACCATTGTAAATATGGTATATATCCACATGAGTTATTAATTGGTAAACACTACGGTGATGAGATATCAAGTAAAGATAATAAAGGACATATGTATGCCTTAGCATTAACACCATCGTTGTATACAACTGTTCTTCAACACCGTACACAAGTATTATACCATGAGACAATATCACCTGTATTATCATATTTTGATATTACTCCAAATTCTATTATTGTAGAATCAGGAACAGGGTCTGGATGTTTATCAGCAGCATTTGGATCACGTTTACAATTTGGTAATGAACATGGTAAAGGACATTTATATACATTTGAATTTCATGAACAAAGAAAGATTAAAGCAGAAGAAGACTTCAAAATGCTTGGACTTGACAAAGTAATTACAGTTGTATTACGTGATGTTGTACAAAATGGATTTCTTATTGATGGGGTGTTGCATGAACAAGAAGCAGATTGTGTGTTTTTAGATTTACCAAATGTACATGAAGCAATTACACATGCATATAATGTACTCAGAGTTGGAGGTAAAATTTGTTGTTTCTGTCCATGTATTGAACAAATACAAAAATCAAGCCAAGAACTTAGAAAAGATGGTAGATTCACCAATTTATTAACTAAAGAAAATGTTATTAGACCATATTCAATTAAAGGAGTTGGAAAAAGAAATGATGATTGTATGTCAAGTGAAATATTATGTTGTCCAACAAAAACAATTAAAGGACATGTTGGATATGTAACATTTGCTATTAAAGCTAAGTGATTTATTTTTTTTTTTTTGATGAATTTAAAAATGATATCAATGAAAGAAATAAACAAAATATCTTAATTTGATTATTTTGTTCTAACTAATTAGATGAACAATAAACCTGTTATAAAAAATAGAGAATTTGCAGAAATTCAAATTACAGCAGAACAACTTATTAGAGAAGCAAGAGATAATCAAACACCAACTTATAAAAGACCTAAAATGACAATTCATGATGAAGAAGAATTACAAGCATATAGATTAACTAAAAGAAAAGAATTTGAACAAGGTGTTACTAAAGAAAGACAAAATCCAAAAAGATGGACAAGATATGCATTTTGGGAAGAAGAACAAGGAGAATATGTAAGAGCACGTTCAATATTTGAAAGAGCATTAGAACAAGATTATACTAATGCTGATACATGGATGAAATATGTTGATTTTGAATTAAGAATCAATCAAGTAAATAAAGCACGAAATATTTTAGAAAGAGCAACGAATTTACTACCAATGGTTTATAAACTTTGGTTTAAATATGTTAGACTTGAAGAAACAGTTGAAAATTTTGATCATTGTAAAGAAGTATTTGAAAAATGGATGACATTTAAACCAGGAGAATATCCATGGCTTGCTTATATTAAATTTGAAATAAGAATAGGAGAAATTAAAATAGCAAAAGAATTATTTGAACAAGCAAATCAACAAATTCATTGTGAAGAATTATATAAAGAATGGGTTGAATTTGAAAAAAGATTTGGAACAATAGAAAGTACAAGAGAATTGTTTTATAAAATGGCTAAAGATATAGAGATTTGTCAAAATTCATATTATCAAATGTTTGCAGAATTTGAATTAAGTCAAGGAGAGATAGAACGAGCAAGACAAATTTATTTATTTGGAATTGATAATATCAAAGAAGAAAATAAAAAAATATTATTAAATAAATATGTAAAATTTGAAAAGATAAATGGAGAAATGAAAGATATTGATAATGCAATTTGGAAAAAAAGAAGATTTGAATATGAACAAAAAATACAAGAAAATCCATTAGATTATGATACTTGGTATGATTATATTCAAATGGAAATGAATGAAATTGAATCAGAAGAAAAAACAAAAATACTTTATGAAAGAATTACAAATCAAATACCACAAGAAATAATTAAAGAAAAATGGACTAGATATATTGAATTTTGGGTATTATATGCACGATATGAAGAAAAGTTACAACATTATGAAAATGTATTTGATATATTTTCAAAAACAATAAAAATTATTCCACATAAATATTTTACATTTAAAAAAGTATGGAGAGCATATGCAAATTATGCTAGAAGAAGAAAAAATATCCCATTAGTTAGAAAAATTTATGGTGCTGCTATTGGGTGGTGTCATAAAGATGATATTTTTAAAGATTATATTGAATTTGAAACAGAAAATGGAGAACAAGAAAGAATTCATAAAATTCAAGCTAAATGGAATGAATTTAAACTACAAAAAATAAAACAAGAACAACTTAATAATGAATAAGATAAAATTGATGTACATGAATTTTTATGATAATTATAAACTTAAATTAATTGAGGTATTGATATATAATGAATTATTGTTTGTTAAATTAAGTTTTAAACCAAAAAGAACTAGTTAATACCAATTAAGTTTGTCTAAAAAAAATGCAAGATATTATGAAACTTTTATTAAAACATCAACCACACTCTTTTGCAAAATTATGTCATTGGACTGAAACAACAGAATTATTATATAATATAAGTCAAAATAGAAATCCACCACATTTAGTAATCCATGGAACAAATGGAAGTGGAAGATATACATGCTGTATGTTGTTTTTAAAAGAGATTTATGGAAATGTTGTATTAGAATTAGGACAAGAAAAATATGAAATTGATGAAAATCATGAAATAGTTTTAAAAGTATCTCCATTTCATGTTGAATTTAATCCGTCACAATATGGATTAAGAGATAGAATTACATTACAATTTATTATTGATAAAATGAAAGTTGGTTCTCAACAAAAAACACTTATAATTCATGAAGCTGATAAACTTACTAAAGAAGCTCAATTTACTGTAAGAAGAGCAATGGAAACAGGAAATTGGAGATATATTTTTATCACAGAAAATATCTCTGCAATGATGAAACCTTTACGTTCAAGATGTTTGGATATTAGAATAGAACTCCCAACATATGACGAATTAGATAGATTAATAACTAATATTTGTCAACAAGAACATACTCATATAACCCAAAAAGATAAAGAAATGATTTTAAATTCCAATAATGGTAATTTAAGAACAACATTAATCACTCTCTTTGTATATATTCAAACTAAACGTTTATTTAAACCAACTTGGAAAATATCCTGTGAACTTATTGTCAAAACAATTGTTGTTACTCCAAACGTTGAAGTCATTCAAAAATTAATTCGTCCTAAATTATGTGAGTTTATTGAAAATGGTCTTTCCCCTTCACTAATACTAAAAGAAATTTTTACCTTATGCATGAACTCAAACATCGACCAATTGTACAAACTTGGTGTTGTTGAAATAATTCATAAATTTGTTTGTTGTTCTTCTCTATCATTCAACCTAACAACCTTCTAATTAAATCAGGACAAATCATTAAAACAAGGGCAAAATCCATGGATTCACCTCGAAAATGCAATCACTGCTTTGATGACTTTATTTTCTGCTCACTAATGACTTATTTGATTGTGCTAGTTCTGATATAAAAATGTTATTTGAAATTATGTTATCATTTCAGTGAAAACCTTGTAAGAACTTCTTTCAAAATCGATTAACTAAAATTGTCTTTTAATTTCCTGAGTTGTTCCAATACTATCCCTAGACTATTTATACAAAATAGCCAGAACTTTCTTAAAAAAAAAGAAAAGATACATATTTTTTCCAAATAAAGTAAAAAAAAGAAGAAAAAATACTAGGTTTTTATTTTTTGTATTAATTTTTTTTATCAATCTGCGATTAGAATAACAAAGAATTATTAATTTTCCTGTTTTTTTTTCTAGAATAAAAATAACCCTTTCTCTTTATTTCTTTACTAATAAAAAAACTATAAATGACAAGTTAATTACAATAGTGAAGTTCTATTGAAGAACTTTGTAGAACAACAGAACCACGAATTATTTTTGGAGAATAAAAAAGAAAAAATCAAACCGAAATCAACTTCAAAATTCTATATATGAGAAATGGAGATTGATAAGAAGATTGAACCTTGTCTCAATCGGCAACCAGCAGTTGTTATGAAAAGAAGTGTAACAGGTAATATCGCTTTTGATATTATCAATAATGGCGATGTTAATGAACTTAAGAATTTTATTTGCGATGGTGGTGATGTTAAAAGTAAAAATAGTAATGGCATAACAACACTAATGTTAGCGTGTGGTGCTGGTAATTTTGGTATGGTAAAAGTTTTATTAGAATTTGGTAAAATGAATATTACAGACCGTTTGCTTTTTTATTAGAAATATAACATTTGGGCAATTAGATTAACAAATTAGGTGATAATAAAGGGAGAAATTGTTTACATCATTTGTGCTTAGGAAGACATGAAAATTCAGAAATATTTCATATTATTCAACCACGATTTCTTGTTCTAATCAAAGATAATGATGGAAAGATACCATTAGTATATGCAGTCCAGTTACAATTACCTTTGTTGGTTAGATTGATATTGGATATTGATAGCTCTGATGTAAAGTTGTGTTATGATTTTAGTAATAATAGTGTTGTTAAACCAGAGAATACAAACAGATATGGATTTGTTGTGGATGCCACAGAAAAGTCAATTCCTTTTATTCTTGCACAACAAACAAAACAACAAATAAAACAAATGACACTTCGTATTCCAAAGTGGGAAAATATGATTTTGTTATTAAAGAAAGGGGTATTTCATCCCAAGTTTGTTAATAGATTATATAAAGGAATGCCTGATGAAGTACGTAGTGAAGTATGGAAATTATTATTACTTAAAGATTTAGATTATAAAACATTACAAGATGAGTTTGATAGATTAAATCAACCATACACAAAAACACCTATTGATAAACAATTAAATTTAGATGTAAAAAGAACATTTCAATTGCATTATACTTATAAAGTACCGTATGGAGGTAATCAGAAAGTATTATTTAACATTTTTCATGTACTTGCTTCAAGAACAGAAAATTTAGAGTATACTCAAGGAATGACTTGTGCACCTTCTGTGTTAACATTATTTCTTGATGAATATAGTTCATATGCAGGAACTGTTCAATTTTTAGGGGACAAATATCGTTTAAAAGAAATGTTTAGTAATTTTAATTTATTGATTCAATGTTGGGATATCACTCGATTGTTATTACAAAAAAGAAATCCTAAACTTTCACAAAAATTAAAACAATTTGGTATTCTTGATCAGCCATTGCCATTCTTTATGTTTGGTTGGCATTATACATGGTTTATTAATGCGTTTAATTTTGAATTAGTATTAAGAATATTTGACGTTATTATCTTAGAAGGATTCTATGTATTATTTTCTGTTGCAGATACTATATTTCATTTCTTAGAAAATGAAATAGTAAATGTTCAAAGTGCTGATTCATTACAACAAGAACTTAAAACACCACTAGTATTATTAAAACAGCCACCAACTGTAAACCAATTTATGAAATATATGGAAAAACATAAAATCAAGTCAAGTGAAATTGATTCACTTATAAAATTGATTCACTCATGAAACTGTAAATTATATTATTCTTCTCTTTCTAAAAAGAAAGTAGAATTCATTAATTCATGTATTTTTATTTAATTAATATTATTTTATTATTGTACAATATATTAAAATAAAACAATTTATTAATTATTTTAAATTACTCTATTCCAGTTAATTTGGATTGTTGTTTTTCTTTTTTTAGTTGTTTTAAAATTTCTCTTTTTTTCTTTAATGACCTTTTTTTCCTCAAACGCTTTTTTTGGTTTTGTTCTCTTTTTTTCATGAATTGAATATTTTCTTTACGTACTCTTTCAGATATTTCTTCTAATGTCTCTTTCTAAAATTTATAAGTCTTTTTTTTGATTCAAATCATTTCTTTCTTTTTTCTACAAACTAATTTCTTATTTTCTTGTTCTTCTTTTTCTTTTTCTTCTTTTATGTGCTGTTCTTCTAAATATACTTTATAATCATTACTTCCATGTTCTGTAATACTTTTAATTATTGACTCACTCATATTAATTTAATTTATTATAATTATTTAAGTTTTGTTAAATTCTTTTTTAATTTTATTATAAAAATATTATAAAAATTAATAAATTCTTACCAAATCCATAAAATCATTTAAAGACGAGGCCCACAGATCAAAAAAGGAATAAGGAACAAAAGGGTGAAGAACGATGCATAAATAAGGCAGGCTATTGTTTCTCCATAATTTCTTATTAATTTATTCATTTGCATAAATTCTAATGTTTTAGAAATTCCTTCTTTATAATTAGTATACAATGAATGTTGCTCAATGAAATGAACAATCTCATCAACGACAAGATCGTTATAAAATTCTATTCTTTCTTTAATATTAGCTTTGATTTTTGTTATTATTTGATAAATTTTATTTGATGATTGTTCTTCTGTTTTTTCTTGTTCTGGAATAAGTTCTACTTCATTATTATTATTAAATAATGTGTGATAAAAATCAATAATACTATATTTTGTATATCGAGCCCAATCTAATATAATTGATATCAATTTGTTAAAATAGAATACTAACACCCTGATTGTGTTAATAAATCTTGTTTTGATAATACTACATAAATGAATAATATTTTTTTTAACAACAAGTATATATGACATTATTTTGGATTTAATCGTTTCAGTTTCTATAGTCTCTTGTTTTGATTCTTCTTCAATAATTTGAACTTGTTCTTCTGGAAGAACAACAACTTCATCTTTGATGATAATTGGTTCTTCAATGTCATTTTGAACAGGAATAGGTTTGTTAATTTCATCTTTAATAATTTCTTCAAACCCTTGATTATCATCTTCATTGTTCAAATCTTCACTGTCTTCTTCAACCACAAACTCAACTTCTTCCTCAACTTTAATTTCTTCTTCCTCTTTATTTAGGCTACCAAAGTAATGTTTCAATTTGTTACATAAATCAACTGTTTTGTCTTTGACAAGTTCATAGGCAATACGTGTTTTCTCCGTAATGTCAGTATAAACTTCTTGACTTTTCTCTAAAACAGAACTAAATAATGTTTCTCCTTTTTCTTTAGTATATTCTACACCTTGCTCAATTTTGTCTTCGACAACTTGAATTGTTTCTTTTGCTTTTTGAGCTCCTTTCTTTGTGTATTCTATGGCTTTGTCTTTAATTACAGCACCTGTTTCTTTAACTTTATTGGCACCTTTTTTTGTGTATTCAATTGTTTTTTCTTTGATTTTTGCACCTGTTTGTTTAGCTTTATCATAAAAACTTTCAGTTTCTGGAGTAATTTTGTCTTGACTTCCTTCAAATTGAAATTCAAGAGATTCAGGTGTAATGATTGTTGGTTCATTTTCTAAAGCAACCATCTCATTGACTGGTGCGATAGTAAACAAAGTAGTGATACTTGTAAAAATCACTGCAGCAAAAGCTAGATATTGATTCATATAGTTTCGGTTCTATATAATCTAGTTTTTATCTTCAAAACAAAAATAACCAAAACCCTTATTTTTTCTCTTTTTTAATTTACTTTTTTCTCTTTTTAATAATTTCTTATTAAAAAAATATTTTAGATATTGTATACTTCTATGAATTATTTTACGTTATATATAACATTATTTATCCTTAATAAACACAGAAATATTAAACAATTTATTTGTAGAACTAAGAATTTATTCAGGAAAAAGAACTAAAAAGATATAATTTTTAATGCTACTATTTGTTATCTTGCTTATTATTTATTCTTGTCAAGGAAGTTTTGTTAGTAGATGTAGTGATCAAGATTTGAATGATTTAAATAACCAAGCACGTCATGTGATGATAATGATTCTTCATGAAGAGAATAAAGAAATTATTGATAAATATGAGAGGTTTGCTCAAAAGAATCAAGATTTAGAAGTTGATTTTAAATACGCTTTAAAAGAAAATAGTCAACAAATTATTAAAGAAAGAGATATTTCGTTATATCCTGCTTTTATTATCATTCGTCACCACAGCCAAAAAGATATGATTTTACAAGGAGGATTTGATTTAGCTAAATTACAACAATTTTTTGATATTTCAACATTACCTATTATATCCTATTTTATGGACCCATCTAAGCTTAGTGTTTATTCAAATAAACAGTATACTTCTTCTTTTGTTTTTGAAAGAAACAAAGACATTATATTTAACCCATTCTTTAATGAGTTTATTTCTACTTCTTATTCACTTGCACCATTAACTGATAATAAATTCTATTATACAGAAAATGGAGTTCCACAATTTCAATTATCATATATGGATAATATGCGTTATTCTGATGAAACTGAAAAATTAGTTTATAGTGCAAAATCTAATTTAACTATTCAATCATGGATGTATCGAGTTGCTTTACCTTTGTTTCAACCTATTAATGAAGATATCAAAATGATATTGAAAAGATCTGGTATGAACGCAATTATTATTGTTGACAATGAAATTAGTAAAATTGATTACCTCAACTTCGTCTCTATTGCTAGAAGTATTAGAGGTCATCTTGGATTATTATATTGTACTAAAGGTAGTTATTATGATCACCAAATTGGTGGTGATTCAAGAATTCGAATTGTTAATTCAGATTTTAAGAAAATAGATGAAGGTGTTATTGTAGAAGACCTTATTAAGAAATATACTACAAACGATAAAATTGGAGATCTTAGAACATTCAAAGAAATTGATGTTGAAACTAATCCATTATATGAAGTTGTTAAAATGATGCTTAACTCTGGACAATATTCTCAAATATTTGACAATGAACGGAATAAACCTTACATTAATATTTTTATGCAAGTTCTTGCAAATAAAACATTATCAACAGATGTATATTCATTATTTAATCAATTTAATAACATTGACTTTTCTTCTGATGATTCTGATGTTGATGAAATTATTGACTTCCTTAAAAACGATAAATTGTGGAATGTTCTTGATTCTATTCAATTCAAAGATATCCCTCAAGAACATATTATTTTTATTAGTAATGCTCGTCGTTTAATTCATGACGATTCTGCTTCTAAAACATTAGAAACAATAGTTAGAAGAGCATTTAAATCTGAAGTTGTGAAACAATTCTTTAAAAACCATCCGGATTCTGATTCAATTTCATCAAATGAAGTATTTGCCTTATTAGAACAACCTGAAGTTAAAGTTATCTTAGATGATATCAAAGAATTAATAAAAACTGTTGATGAAAAAAAATTATTTGAAAAACGTGAATTATAAATCATTTTAATTCATTTAAATATTTGTATTTTGGCTTATTTTATGTTTCTGAAATTGTTATTAAATGATTGATTAAAACGTTTTTTTATTCCTTAGTGTCTATTCTAATTATTAGTCATTGTATTTGTTACCATTGAATATATTTCTTTGGTAAGACTTTTATAATTTAGATTTACAATATGACTATAAACAGCTATTAGAAATAAATAATTTGTCTCACATAGGTTAAATATAGTGATATATTCTTTAATAAATACGAAAAGAGAGAATTAAAATAAAACACTTATTTTTAAAAAGAATTAACAATACAATAAATATAAATAGATAAAAAAGTATTCAATTATTTAGATAACATCACAATATTGAGCAATAACTTGACTCACCATATCTTCAAGAGTATCAATGTCAGGAAGACTTGATGTCATTCCATAGACTGGTGCCCATACATTATATTTAGGATTTTTTGGGTCTTTTCTAATGATATCTAGTGCCTTATTTAAATCTTCTATAAATTGTTTTTCACATCCAATAGTTTTTTCTGTTACACAAAAATGAACAGCTGCAGGGAATTGTAATGTATTAAATTCCCATTGAAATTCTTTATTCATACAATCACTAACTTTATAAATATTTAAGTCAGTTGTAGTAAATGCAACTACTGGGGTATCTTGTTCCATATCATTTAATATTTTAATATTACTCATTTTACTTAATTCATTCTTTAAATTTTTTGAAGTTGTAAGAATACCTCGTGTAGCATCAATATATCCTTGTTTTCCTGTAAATAATAATGATGCCCATGCACCTGCAATATTATTTCCTGCTCTACTACCTGGAATTGATGGTGAACAATATAATCCACCTGTCCATTTGGGATATTTGAAGAAAACTAAATTACGTAATTCTTCATTGCGGAATATTAAAACAGATGATCCTTTTGGTGCATACCCATATTTATGTGTATCACATGAAATACTCATTACCCCTTCATTTCTAAAATCAAATATTGGAACATTAAATCCAGCTGCTTCTCCCCATGCTTCACAAAATCCTCCAAGACATGCATCAACATGAACTGGTACATTTACTGATTTACAGTATGTTGCTATACGTTCAATGTCATCAATTACTCCATGTGGATATGATGGTGCACTACATACAACAAGTATTGTATTTTTATTAATTTTTTTTTGTACTTCTTCAAAATCTAATGCATTTCTTTTATCAGCAGAAATAATAATTGGTTTAATGTGCATTAATTCACATCCTTTTAACCATGCAGGATGTGCATTAACACTCATAATAATTTCACATTCTTCAGCAGCAATACCTTTGTTTTTAATACCATTTTGATAATGTGCTCGTTCAGAAAGAATAATACTTTCTGTTCCTCCAGTTGTTAACATTCCTCTTGTGTTTTCATCACCATGAAGCATATTTGCAGTCATTCTAATTACTTCTGCTTCCATTTTTCTTACTGATGGACAATTATCAGCATGAAGTGGATTTGAAAGAATAAATAATTTTGTAGCTTCTCCAATAACTTCATTTCGTTCTGAATTACCTGCATAAAATGATCCTGAAATATGTTTTGTCTTAATTTTTTTTGAATCATATTCAAAATACTTTTTCAAAAGTTCCATCATTTTTTCCTTTGAATATCCAACTTCTGGGATTTCTGTGTAATTTTCAAATTCTTTAATACGTAATGCTTCTCCCATACTAGTTGTTGATTTTTTAATTTCTTTTTGAATGACGTTGTGAATACCAGTTGCTCTAGTAATTCCTTTAAATAATTGTGAATAGATATTATATAATGTTTCCTTACATGGTAAGAAATAAGAAATAACCCATCCAATAATTCCACCAATGACTATCTCTCCAATCATCAATTCTACTTTTTAAGTTTATTAGGTTTTATTTTGTATTAGATGAGAAAGGACATTGTCCTGTTATTCTCTAGGATTTCCCGAAGTGAAAAGATGAAAAAAAAAAAGAATATTAATAGTTGAATGATATTGTTTGAAATTAATAATAATTGTAGAAAAAACACTTTTCTTTAATTTTTATTTAAATTAGAAGTGTTATTCTTCTATCTTTCTCTCTTTTTAAAGAACACTCTTTTAGTTATTTTATCCTTTCTTGAATATGCCATTAGGAATGAACTTATCCTAACAAAAGATTTTCTTGTCATTTTTATGTCAAATGTAAAAACAACTTTGAAAACCCATAAGAAGATTTCATTAATATTTTATTACTACAAATGAACAGAATTCAAACTACGTGTGTCTACTAAACTTTATTGAATTTGATTTCTTCAAACTCAACCAAATAACAAACAAAAACTCATTGCCTTAAGTAATTATTTTTGGAACTATCAATTGTACTGGAGAGTCAAAGTAAATACTTTTTTTAAAAAAAACCTTCAATTAAATTAACTTGTTTCTTTGGTTATGTCATTATATAAAAATGTTGGATTTTCTAATTTATTTTTTTTTCAACTAATTATTTCATTCATTCATTCACTCACTTCCTTTGACTTTTAAAAGAATTAAATTTTAATGCTATTTCTTAGAACTAACATGATAAAGACTTATAGCATTTTTAAATAATAGTCTAAAGAGTTTCTCCTTGAAGATAATATTTAAAGTAAAGTTTATGGGATTTGAGACGTCTCAGAGATAAAACTTAACAATTAATAGAAACACAAGAAATACTAAGAACAATAATTTTTATTATCTATTATATGATAAATCTGGAAAAGAATTTTTATTTGATAAATATTTTAATAAAAGGATATAAAAAGTGATGGAGAAAAACTGTATCATAGACATAAGTAAAAATCAAGAAGAGTATTTGATATAGCGTAAAAAACTAAAGTTAGAATTTAAATATTACTTGGAAATATTCATAATAAAATAGAGAAAATTCTTATAATTGAAATGAAAATTATTCTTAAGTATAAAATATTATAATAAAAATTAAATTGTCCTAATTCTGTGTTATATAACTTCTCAAAAAATATTTTTGTATTCTTTTTTTCAATACACTTCTATCTACACAAATAAAAATATAGTTATAACAACTACAAATATAATAATAATTTTAATAATGATTATCTGAAAATTAAAAGATTTCTATTATTTTTTGATGTCTGATGATTAACTCTTTTAAATTATTTTTATTTGTTTATTGTATTTCTTTTTTACTTTCTTTATTAGTCACCAGTTATATCATAATATAATTTATGTAATTATTTATTCATTATTTTTTTTATAATTATTTAATATATTATTCACTATCTTTAGTGATTTATATTGAAAACTGTTTTAATTTTAACTTTTCTTATACTGTTAATATTAATACTTTATAGATGTGTTTTCATATGTAATAGATGATCTGATTCTTAAACTATCTTTTTTGCTTATGATTATTATAAGGTATATAATGAATTATTATGCTCCTTAATGTTTACACAATAGTAATCATCATTTTTAAACTTAAAAAGATAATGTTATAACGTCATTATTAAAGTTTTATTTAATGTAAAAAAATTTTTCTTTTTGATAATAATAAGTTTGAATGACATACTGGAAATTGATCAATTTGTAATTATTATTTTTCTAAATTATTAATTAAATGAGTGTTTTTAGTAATCTGATATATGTTATTAATTTTTTATCTCATTTATTTATATAAAATGTATTGTGAGACTAACAATTTAAATGTATTGTGGTTCAAATCTTAAGTACTAGTTTTTATTATTTATTATTTATAAATTCTTGTACGATATGATTTTTTAATAAGTTTAATAAATATTTTTTTTTTTCATTTATTCACTCTATTTATATAACTGTTTATATTTTAAATCCACTATTCATTATATTTAACATTTTTTATAATTTATCAATATGTTCAATCTGATAACATTTAAGAATGTATTATTTTCTATTTTCTTATTCTTACTTATAGTGTGGTTATTATTTCTTTTCTTATTGTTTGTTCGTTTTCTCTTGTTTTAATAATTTCTTATTTTATTCTTCTTATTATTTTATATTCTGTATTTCATTATTATATTCTTTCTTGTTCTTGTTTTATTACATATTTTGTGTTTTATGATTATCTGGATATCTTATCATTTTATATTTCTTATTTCTTTTATCTTTTTCATTTTTAATGAGTAGTGATATTTCAATATATTAAATATAAATAGATGAAATTAAATTATTATATTTGTATTCATTTACATTAATAATATCATTCAATGATTGTTATTTATTTTACATTGATTATTTCATCATTTCTTTTATCATTTTATTATATCATTATTTATGACTTCTAATTTCAATTAATCTATATTCATTCAAATTGTATTAGTTCAATATCCATTTCATCTTAAATTCATAATTCAAAATGAATAAGATGAATATTAAATTTAATTCATACATTCATTCATTATTAAATCTTATAACAAAACAATTTCTATTAAAATCAGTCTGATACTATACATTTAATCAGCGTGAATTCAAGAAGTAACTATATAAGTTAAAAATAGTTATAAATAAAGAAATTAAAATAAAACTAAGAAGCATTTTGTAAATGTATTAATAAAGAAAATATTTGTGACAATTTTCATTGATTTCTTCTTTTATTCTTTTCAAGTTTTTGTTGATTTATTGTTCCACTTTGAGGTTATTCTGTAATAATATGATGTTGTATTTTAGTTTTAATAACATTCATTAAATAGCATTAAATAAAATAAAAAGAATTAATTAACTTGTAGAGATGTGAGATAATTGATGAATCAAAGATACTTGTTCATCTAAGAATTGTAAATTTTGATATTGAATCATATTATTATCTCATATACTTCTTTTCATCATTTTAAATTATTAATTTTATATTGTAAATGATACATATTTATTTTACTGATTAATTGACATTAAATATAATATTGAATATATTAGAAATAATAAAAATAAAAATAGAATCTAACTTATATAACATATCAATTATATATCAGTACAAGAAATCAATATAAAATAAAAGTATTGACACACTACACTCAAATAAATTTAAATAAAAGATATATAATTGAAAACATAACATCAGAAAAATGAGTTTTTTAAAAAAAAGTAAAAAGAAAAAATTTAAAGAGATAATACAGAATATATTCATATCTAAAAAGTGTATAGAAAATGTGTAATAAATAAAATGGTGAATATAAATAAGAAAAGAAAGAAGAACAAAGATATGATAAGAGAAAGAAAGAGAAAAAAAATAAATTTAGAAAAAATAAAAAAAAATCATTATTAAAAATGAAAATAAAGTTGAAATTAAAAAAATTAGAATAAAGAGTATAAAATACTGGAATTAGTATGTAATTATCTCATTATAATTATTATTTACATTTAATAATATCTGTTATCATAATCATTTATAAGGTAATTAAAAAGTTAAGTGTTTGAAATATCATTTTCTTATTCTTTTTTCTTTGTAAATATTACATTCTTATTTTCATGGTAACAATACTTTAGTATTTTTATCATTTCAACTAATACTTTAACACATACTAATGTATTTTATATTAATTTATAAACATTTAAATATGTAAAATGATTCGAAATGTTATTATTTTTAACTACTATTTATTTTTTTTCTGATATCTAATTATTAACTCATTAATTTAATATAATATCTATTATATTACATTATTCAATAGTTATTAGTGTCATAACTGTTTTATTTATTAGTTATTCTTTGCTCTTTCATTCTAGTTAATATAAACAATTTTATTATTACATTCAAAGATCTAATTAGTTTATCATTCCATTATTTATTATTTAAACATTATAACAGAATACTTGTTTATATTATAATTTAGAATATAACCGTTATAATAAAATCAATTATTTTATTTCCCAGTTAATATTTAAATAAACTCCTTCTATTTAAATTCATTCTTTCTATTATTTTATGTTTTATATTATCTCTTCTAATTAATAAATTAATTTAACTTATATTGTGTTTTTATTTACTTAGTATCATTTTTTTGATGGAAATTAATTCTTTATATATATTTTAATATAATGTATTAAAATAATTTTCAAATTTATCATTACCATAAAAATATTTTTATATATTAATACTTGAATATTATTAAATACAATAATGTTATTTGGTTTTTACTGGTTCATTTATTTTACTATTCTTTATTTCATTTTTTTATCTTATTGCTAATAATTTATTCATTATCTTTGCTTTTAATTACATAAATTCTTTTTAATATGGGTTACCTATATCATATTGTTAATTTTTAGTTATTTCTCTTTTGTCTTTGTTATTATTGTTATGTTTTCTAAGCCTTTCATTATTTTTCTATTTCATCTTTTATTTATTGTTATTCTTTAAAATTTGTTATCACTGTTATAACCAGTTTATTTTCACCATTTCTATTTGTGTTCTTTTGATTAAACAGTTGCTTTGATTATTTTATTTCAAATACCTTGGTTGTTTATTCTATTCTTTGTTCTTCTTTCATCATCTTGCTGTCTATTACCATAAACTCTTATTTACTTTGTGTAAATATCATTATACAGTAATTCCTTTTTCTTGGTTAATAACTTTTATCACAAAATAATTGTTATTCATTGTATTTATTCTTTTTCATTATTTCTATTCTGAGTTGTAATATTTCATGAATTTATTGTAAAATAATTATCATTTAAGTTTTATTTAAATCTTATTAAATCATTTTTTTGGAAAGAATAAGAAAAAATAGTTAAATATATAAAATTAATAATTTTGTTTTTAATAGAGCTAAAATAAGAAAATTACCAATAGAACTAGGAAGATCTTTGAAATAGAAAAGAAAAGATGGAAAAAAGAGTAAATGAATTATATCAACGAGCAAAAGCAGATGAAGATTTTATTACAATCTCACAACTGGCAAAGGAATACCAAATTCCAGATGAGCTCAGAGTTGAATTATATGAAGTTTGTTTAGAGAAAGTATAAAAAGATATATAAAACTAAAACAAAGACTCACAGTAAACTTAGTATTTAATTCCAAAAGTAGATGGTATTGAGTGTAAGGTACAAAGAGAAATGGGAGAACTTATCACAATTGAAGAATATCTCACAAAGTTTGAATTATCAAAAGATAAAATTGATGACGCAAAGAAGACAGCACTATATCTCATTCATACAAACCCATGTCAATACTATGAAGAGATTGTTTTATTTGTGTTGGTTATGGAAAAAATTATGGGAAGAATCGACTTACCTTTTATACAGAGGATTTATAATAGCTATATGGGATTTTGCATTAATTTACTTCCACGAGGATGGCATGGATTATTATCATTAACACATATGATCTTGTTATATTATTTCCCTGATGTTACTATTCATCTGGATAAAATGAAATTGACAACGGATAAATTACTTCGTCGATTCATTTTTAATTTAAATGTTAAAATGTGTAAAGACTTTAAAGCAATTCTGACTCTTTTAGATGGAATATTCACATTCCAAAATAAAAATCTTTATTTCTATATGATAGTTGCTATTTACGAAGACATGGGAAATCAATTGAAAACACTTCAGACACAAGAAGAGGTTCTTAACTTTATCACATCAAAAAGTTATACATCTGATGAAATTAAGATTCTTCTCTCAATTGCTAAATGTTATTTAGCCAAAAGTCCAGCCTCCTTTAATGGATTAATTAATGGGTGTTTGAATAATACACCTCAATTCAAACAATGGTACACTGCTAACATTTCAGAAGCATTTGTTGTCTCACTGACACCAACCGATATTGTAAATTACACCCTACTATTTAAACAACCACTCCAAATGATAGATGTTCGATCAAATGAACAGTACCAACAAGGACATTTAACACATGCAATTTCATTAGAGATTGATAATCAAAAGAAAGAAAATATAGAAAAAATATTTTCAGAATTGACACAGAAACAACCTGTAGTGTTCTACGCATCTGGAGAAGGAAGTAATCCCACAGTAAAAGAAATGGCTATCTTGTGCTATGAACTATACAGTAGAGGTTATAAGAGAGTAGGAATTATGGTTGGAGGATATAAAATGTATCATAAATACTTTATTGAAGGGAGCTTAGGATTTGAAATAGAAAATCATAATACACTGAAATGTCCTGCATGTCTTGGTGTCACAGGAGGATTATTTTCACGATTTAAAAGAGGAGAAGTAAAGGAGAACACAGAAGGAATTAGAGATGAACGAAAGAAAGATGGAGAGAAAGAAAAAAAGGAAAGCGACAAAGAAGAAAAACAAGAGATTAAAGGAGAGACAGAAGGAAAAGAAGACGATGGGAAAATCAAAGTAGAAAAAGAACAAACAAAGTCAAGATGGGGAAATTCATTCAGGCAAACACTACGATGGCTAACAGAAGAACCTAATAAGGAAAAAAAGAGTGATGAAGAAAAGAAAGAAGAAACAGCAGAAAACCAAGAAGAAGAAAAACAAGAAGAAAAGAAAGAGGAAAAGAAAGAGGAAACCCAACAAGAAGAGGTCGTGGTATCTATCGACACAGACTCAATTAAGAAATCAGTAATGAGTTGGTTAGTTGGAAAACCAAAAGAACAAAAGAAAGACGAAGAAAATAAAAAAGAACAAGAAACAAGAATTGAAAAAGAAGAAACAAAGGAAGTAAGTAAAGAGTTAGAAAAGAAAGAAGAAGAGAAGGAGGCAATTGCACTTGAAGCAGAAAGAAAGAAGGAATTAGAAAAGGAAAAGCAACCAATAGAAATAGAGCCCCAAAAGAAAAAAGAAGGAGAAGAGAAATTAACTGAAGAAAGAAAAGTTAAAGAAGTAGATATTGAGGCACAAAAGAAAAAAGAGGAAGAAGAAAAAAGAAAAGGTACTGAAGAAGAGGAAAAGAAAGCCAAGGAAACAGAAGAAATAAAGCGTAAAGAAGAAGAAAAACGACTTAAGGAGGAAGAAGAAAAAAAGCGTAAAGAAGAAGAAAGAAAACAGAAAGCAGAAGAAGAAGAAAGACGACACAAAGAAGAAGAAGAAAGACGACACAAAGAAGAAGAAGAAAGACGACACAAAGAAGAAGAAGAAAGAAAACAGAAAGCAGAAGAAGAAAGAAAACAGAAAGCAGAAGAAGAAAGAAGACGTAAAGCAGAAGAAGAAAGAAAACGTAAAGAAGAAGAAGAAAGACGACACAAAGAAGAAGAGGAAAAAAAACAGAAAGCAGAGGAAGAAAGAAGACGTAAAGCAGAAGAAGAAAGAAAACGTAAAGCAGAAGAAGAAAGAAAACGTAAAGAAGAAGAAAGAAGACGTAAAGAAGAAGAAAGAAGACGTAAAGAAGAAGAAGAAAGACGACACAAAGAAGAAGAGGAAAAAAAACAGAAAGCAGAGGAAGAAAGAAAACGTAAAGAAGAAGAAGAAAGAAAACGTAAAGAAGAAGAAGAAAAAAAGAGGGCCAAAGAAGTAGCTATTGCTAAAGCCAAATCAGTAAACGGGTATTGTGAAAGTTTAATGAAAGAGAATAAACAATTTAAGTGCGTAAGGTGTAAAGGAAAAAGCAAAGAAGAGGCTATTTGTTTAGTTAGTAAAGAGGCAGTTGTTGTAATAACTCAAGAAAGAGAACAATGGGAAATTAAAGACCAAGTCATGTTAGACGATATAACACAAATTGTTAAAGTCACTAAAATTAAAGGACAAATCCGAATTAAATATGGAGGAGGAGAAAAAGAAAAACACATTTCACTGAATCTCGGAGATTTTGTAGATGATTTTATCAAAGAAGTCAACTCTAAAGCAAACTAAAAGGTTGAAATTTATTTTTTTTATGAATTTATTTAAAAAGAAAAATGATACGAAGAACTAATTTGAGTTATTGCAATTCTTTTCTTCTTTTAAAAAGGTGTTATTTATAAGCCAATTTTATTTGATTTCGTTTTTTAAATAACTCAACAAAAACTTATTTAAACAGTTCTTCTATAGTTTTGGTAAAACAACTTAAAAAATAAATATTAATCAATACTTAAGAAACAGAAAAATTGAACACTTTGATTGAACTAAGGAACAACTAAATATATTTACGGGATGTACCAAATTAATAAAGTTTTTAGTTATTTAGATTAGAGACAAATAAGCCATAAGGCATGACTGTTGGGAATAATTTGTTGTTGGGACAAATCCTGAATTATTTAATAAATGTATAAAAATATGTAGTATTTAACAAAAACTAATAGTGAGTGATTGTTAAATAATAAAACTATTGACCTTTTTTTGTTACCAAGACAGTCAGAGTAGAGAGAGAAAATCAAATAGATAAAACAGAAAATATATCAACTTTCTATCTAATAATTCAATAAATTCATTATATTATAAGTCAAATACAATTAATCTAATGCCTTCTCTAACAACATTGGTGAACCAGAACGAGAAGGTGAACGAGAATAACAAATTGGTAATAATGTTGGAGAACTTGAAGAAGATCGTGGAGTCACACGAAAAACAGGCAAACGAACATTTAATGTTTTTTGTTCCTTATCTTCTTGAATTGAGTTTAGTCTTTTGTGAGTAATAACTGAAGGCTTATGTTGAGGGGTGTTCATTTAGAAAAAAACAAGTAATAAGAAGAAGATGACAAATCTTTTTATTTTTAAATAATTAAAACAGTTATAAAAAGAATTATTATGACGTGTTTATTATTTTTGATCAATTATTTAAATTCCATTTGTAATTGAAAACATTTCACTAAAATTAAAATTTTTTGTTATTTAATTAATTTTTGTTAATTAAAAAATTTTTTTTTAATATTTTGAAAAATAAAAAAAAAAAAGAAAAAATAAAAAAAAAAAAATAAATTGTTTTATAAAAGAAAAGATAATGACTGAGGAAGAGTTAAATACTTATTTTAAGACAGTTATGCCATTAGTTAAAATAAGTGGCAGAATGATTAGAGATGCCTACTGTAAAATGCAAGTAACTATTGCTGGAAGTGATGACCATTTATTCACTACAGCCAACCCAAGTGTTCCAATGAATGAAAAATATGAAGAAGTTAAAAGTTTTACTAGTAAGTCATGTTCAATAGATTGGGTTACAGAAACAGACAAAGGGGTTGAACAATATTTAATATCATCACTACATGCTGCTTTCCCAACTCATAGATTTGTAGGAGAAGAAACTAATGACACTCACAAAGAACTAACTGATGAACCTACATGGATTATTGATCCAGTTGATGGAACGACTAATTTTGTTCATGGAATTCCAATGTGTTGTACATCAGTAGCATTATCTATTAACAAAGAAGTGGTTATTGGAATTGTATATAACCCAATTCAAGAAGAATTGTTTAGTGCAATTAAAGGAAGAGGAGCATTTATGAATGGGAAACAAATTCATGTAAGTCATACAACAGAAATCAATCAAGCAATTATTGGAACCAACCCAGGTTATCATCGTGAACATGAAACAATAGATGTTATGTTATTTAATCTAAATGAGATAATGACTAGAGGTGTTGCTGGAATAAAAATGTTAGGAAATGCTGCAATGGATTGTTGTTATGTTGCTTGTGGAAGAACAGATTGTTTTTATGAGAAATATTTATGTGTTTGGGATTATGCTGCTGCTTCACTAATTGTAAAAGAAGCTGGTGGAATTATAAGAACTATAAACAACATTAATCCCTTGTTATTGAATAAAAAGTTATTAATTATTGGTAACCCATCAATAGCAAATCAATTATTTGATATATTAAAACAATAATTTGATTTTTCTTTGGTTCTTCTTTATTATTTTTTATTTAGAACTTACACTTTAATTATTAATTCTTCATTCAATTATTGATTTAATTAATGATGCACTTAATCCACTCTCTTGTAACTCATTTATATCAAATTCTTCTTGAATTTTTTTTCCAATCTCTTTAACTTTCTCAGTTTCTCCAGAAGTATTTTGAACTATTTTAAGTCCAATAAGTTTCATTGTAATAATATATTTCTTTACTTCTTTACTCCAACTTTTTTCAATAGTTTTAATAATGAATTCAGCTTGAGTTGAACTGATAACACTTTCATTTGTTATTTGTTGAAGACTTAAAATCATTTTAAATCCTTCAAAAACAACATCAACAAAGCCAATTGTTTTAATAATATCATTTTGAGAAGTGACTTGATGATTAAGTTTATTAATTACAAGGCAATTTGAGATTATTTTTCTGATAATTTCTTGATAATTTTCTTTCCACATTTCATAGTTTCGTTTGATAGTGTCATTTATTACTTTCATTATATAATATGCAATCTCGATGTCACTGTCTTTCGTTTTTTCATTTATTTCAAGATAATTCATAACTCTTTCTTTTCTACTCCATAAGTACCATCTCATTTCTTTTTGACTTTTTAAAACCACTAATAATTCTTCATCACTTAATTCATGAGAGGTATAGTCTTCCTTCACTTTAAATCTCATTCTAAAAGTACCTTGAGTAATTTTTTGAACTACATTTATCATTGCTACTACAGTTTCAATGTTAGAAAATTTTTCTAGTTTATTATAAACTTCTGGAGTAAATAAAGATGAATATGTAATAGTAATACTCTTATTCATTTGTGAAGATATTATTAATTCAAGAATAGATGCAGCCAATTCTCTTGGGGAATAGTCAATCATTTCAAGAGCCTTTGAAACAAAAAGGTCTACATTTCCAGTTCCACCGTTTTCAATCCATTGATGTATTAACAAAACAACTATTTCTCCCATTTTCTCATTTACTGCTTGAAGAGCTTGATTCATAAGAACTTGGCTATCTCCACGGACCCCATATTTCTTAACTAAAGACGTAATTTTTTTCTGGTCATAGCAATGATCTACAACAGGTAATATTCCACCATTTTGAAAATAATATTCAATAATACTTTCTTCACGCTCTTCAATTCGTTCTTGAAGAATTGACTTTAACATTGGAATAAAGCAGTTTAAGTTGACTTGTAACTTACATTTTATTAAAACAACTACAAAGTCTCTTATTTCTTTGTGATCTCCAAATTTACTAATTAATTCTTCAATTTGTTGTTGAGTTAATAGACCAGAACCATCATAAACTGGATTAGATTCAACTAAATAACTAATTGGCTTGATCATTTCTACTGATTCAATAGGAAGAATATTTTTCTTAAGAGGGCCAATGAGAAATGGAGGACATTTTTGATCAAAAGTAATATATTTAAGTATTCTAATCAAAGACTTGGGATTATTATAATAGTAGTTGGGATGTGAAAAGACAAACGTTGCAATTGGTGTTGTTAATTCAATAGGGCTAAATTTAAAATATTCTACAGCACTAAACAAAATGTCAAGGTCTTCTGCACAACAAATTTCTTGTTTAAAAAGTAATAAAAAGTCTTGTTGCATGACTGAGATAATAGGGAGTAAAGGGTTTTTATCAAATGATTGTACAGAATCAATATAAACTTTCAATAAAAGAAGGTACTGTGATTTAAATCGGTAAAAGGGTAAGAGCATTTGGGTTGCCTTATTTTGTGAACAAGAAAGACCAAGAGAAACAAGACTAGAATATCCAAATTTTAGTCCTGAGAGTGCATTAATACTTGCAATACAAAGATCAAGAATTCCTTGTGAAAGACCTTTTCTGAATAATAATAAACACTGTGAATCATCGATTAAAGGTTTGTGAGATAATTTAGCGTATTTACCACAAAACCGAAGTAATGCAATAACACCATTGATATCACTACTTTCTATTAAACGGTTTAATTCAAGTTGGACAGTACAAGGGTTTTCTTTGAACATCATAAATGAAATGAAATTGTATGAATTTGGAAATAAGAACTTTCTTGCTGCAGTATATCTAACTGAAGGTATGACTTGTGGTTGATAAGATAAGGCAGAAAAGAGGGTTTGTAATGGCTCACAATTAGTTGAATTTTCAATTAAAGAATTCATTGAATCATTAGTTACACATTCTGCAACAAGAGAAAGAAGTTCAGGTAAACAATAGTCACAAGTAATAAATATAATTGTATTAAGTAATGACTCCAATAACAACGATTTTAGAGTTATTTTATCTAGGGTAGGAATAATTTGTTCTAAGGAAGAAGAAGCAGATAATATTCTATGATACTCAGCTATAATTAATGGAACTGTTTCTTTAAAATGTGACGTTGCTGGTAATGAAGTGATATGAAGTGCATGTGGTGAAATTGTAAGAATTTGATTTGGTCTATCTGTTCCAACGTATCGTGCCCCTGATAAAATCATTAACAACTCACATAAAATAACTGTTTGTGGTAGCATTTCTCCATTATCATTATTATATAACAACTGAACCAATTCATTGTAAGGAGGTTCTTCTTTTGGTAATTTTGGTATTGCTTTTCTAATAACTTCATATAACTGACTTTCAATTGATGCCATCGTTTAAATTTTAAAGTTTTTTTTGATTTTCTATTAATTTTATTTATAGTTATATAAAACAATTATATTTATTATAGAAATTTGTTTTTTAAATAAATTGGATTATTATGAAAAAATATGTTAAATTAATAAATAAACTTCTTCTAAAAATCTTTTTAATTTACAAAAAGAGTATTAGTGATATTTGTTTATGACTCTGTTTCACTAATTTGTTGAATGTCAAAAAGCTTAACAATTAACGTACTTAAAAATTAAGATAAAAGAATTTAAAATCTAAAATTTTAAAGAAAGATAGTTTAATGCTCACTAGTTCATCAAGAATTAGTATCTAATAATACCCAAAATACTATAACGATATTTTCATAGTATTTGTTATATCATCAATTAACATTTTTTCATTTTCATAAGGCTATTAGTACTTTCACTAAAAGTGTATAAGGTAAAGGTTTTTAAAAATAAAACTCTAAAAATATTTTTCATATCTAATAAACTAATTTTCTGAAAGTCTTTTAAAAGCCACTTGCCCAACTGAGCTCTTCTTTCTGGATTTCTTTTGTGCTTTTTATTTTTGAATTTAATTGGAGTAGTTTTTCCTTTAACTGAGATAAACTAAGGACTAAACAAGAAACTCAATAGTCACAAATCAATGAATTTCCTGAGGAATATAATTAATGGAATAAAAACAACATTTCTAAGAGATTCTAGTATTCCTAAATCAAGATATGTAATTTTAAATAAATTACACTCAGCTCGATTTAGTAAAGTGTATCATTGTAGATTAAGAGAGTCAGGAAAAGAAGTCTGTGTTAAAATTTATCAGGTTAGAGAAAAAGAACGGAATAATGAAGGATTAGAAATGCAAATATTAAATGAGATTAGTATATTAAGAAGAGTAAATCATCCATGTATATTAGGATGTTTGAATGTATACTTAACATCTCATCGAGCAGTGATGGAAATGGAATATATGAATGGAGGAGATTTGTTTGATTATCTTGTAAAGAATGGAATTCAAAATGAACGAGTAGTTCGACAAATTGCTATACGATTAATGAGTGCAGTGAAATATCTTCATAGTGTGAATATTACACATAGAGATATTAAATTAGAAAATATGTTACTTGAAAGATTCAATGACATTTCTTCAGTCAAACTTAGTGATTTTGGATTATCAGTTGAAACAGAAAAAGAAACATTAATGACAGATCAAGTAGGAACTTCTTATTATATGGCACCTGAATTATATCGAAGATTACCTTATGGTAATAAAATAGATTGTTGGTCATGTGGTGTTGTTATTTACAGTCTTCTTTATGGAACATTTCCATTTGCTGGTGAAGACCAAGAATTAGTTTCAAATATATTAAGAGGAAAAGTGAGATTTCCAAATGATATCAAAATATCTGATGATTGTAAAGATTTTATTTTAGGACTTTTAACTGTAAAAGCTTCTTCTCGTCTTTCTTCTCAGCAAGCTATTGAACACCCTTTTATTGATGGAAATGAAATATTAGGAAGTACACTCATAGAACATGGTAATCTTTGTAATTGTCATTCAGAAAGTCTCTTAAGTCAACTCACAACAACAACAACCAATGATTCGAGCCAAGATCAAAATTCTACTTCATATGAATGAAGTATTATTATTTAATTGTAAGATGTTTGTAATCATTTTCAATTTATCTTTCTCTTTTATAATAAAAATTAAAAATATAAAAATAGATTAAAAAAAAAACTTCGTTCATTTGAATACTTTTTTTTTTTTCATTTTTACTTAAAGATTTCAGCTCTTACATGACGTTTATATTCAACAATATCACCAGGGAATTTAGTGATAGTTTGATCATGTAAGTGCCAAATTTCATCACAAACTTGACTAATAAGACGTTCGTCATGGGTAATAATTAAAACACCACCTTGATATACAGCTAAAGCACGAGCTAATGCCTCAACAGTTTCAATATCTAAGTGATTTGATGGTTCATCAAGAAGTAATAAATGAGGTTGTTTATATGCTAAATCAGCAAATACAACACGAGACTTTTGACCACCAGAAAGAGTATCTAATCTTTGTAAAGAAGAATCACCAGTAATACCAAATTTACCTAAATGAGATCTTATTTCTTGAACTGTTTTTTCAGGATATTTATTTTGGAAGAATTGAATTGCATTCACTTTAAAATTTAATTGATCAACAAAATGTTGTGCAAATACTCCAATTCGTGCTTTACGATTTCTTTGAACTGTACCTTCTACAGGAGTTAATGCATCAATTAATAATTTAAGAAAAGTAGTTTTACCACATCCATTTCTTCCAACTAATGCAATACGACTTTCCATATTTAATGCAAAATTTAAATTTTTAAATAAAATTTTATTTGGTTCATATCCAAAAGTAATATCATGAAATGAAACAATATTAGAATCTAATGGTTCTACATCTGGGAATGTTAATGTTACTTCTGCATCATCAACAACAGTAGATACTTCTTTCATTTTTTCCATCATTTTAATTCTACTTTGAACTTGTGGACCACGAACAGCAGAACATTTAAATCTATCAATAAATTGTTGAATATGTTTTCTTTGTATTTGTTGAGCATCATATGCACGTTGTTGTTGTAATAATTTTTTTTGCATTGTTGCTTCAAATGTATCATAATCTCCTGGATAATATGTAAGTTTAAAATCTTTAAAATGAATAATATCTGTAACAACTGAATTTAAAAATTGTCGTTGATG